CTCAGTGCTACACAACCTCTACTGCCCCTCAGACACCCTCCTCTGGGATGGCAGAGGCAACAGCGTCTGGCTGTCCACCCACTGAGCTTCTGGCTGCTCCGCCGCTGTGCGTGGGTCTCTGCCAGGCCACCCACCACAACAGGGTGAGCTCAGAAGCTCAGCTGCAAGAGCTAGGTGGGAGAGGCCAGGAGAGGAAGGAGAGGGCCAGAGAGGGCTGGAGAGGGCCGGGCAGGATGGTCTGCATTGTCCGGACAGCTCTGGGCTTGCGGTCCTGCCAGTTCTACCTCAAGCTGCCTCTTTGGGTATTGAAAAGCCTGGGTCTTCTCTATCCACCTTTGCTTTTAAATGTTTCCTATCAAGTTGAGATTTTTAAGGACTTCATTTTAAATTTGTATTAAAATTTATGACTTGGATTTTTCAAAAACTGTGATCAAACTACAAGCCCTTCTTAATAAAAACATTGAACACATTTTTAATAGTTTCATGCAGATTTTGATTCTGCAGTGTTGGGTTCCCTGACCCCAGTTGTTCAGGGGCCAGTTCCTACAAACCGGTGGCTTAAAGAATGGGAGTGCTTTGTTAGGCTGCAGATCTGAGGCCGAGGTGTCACAGGGCTGCTCCTGGGAGCACCTGTGCTGTGGCCACCTCCACCCTGTGGCCACCCTCAGCCTTGTGCCCATCCCCAGCCTGTGGCCACTCCCAGCCCAGTGCCTATCTCTAGCCCTGTGCCCATGCCCAGTCCTGTGGCCACCCCCAGCCCTGTGGCCAACCTCAGCCCCATGGCCACCCTGAGCCCTGTGGCCACCATAGCCCCTGTGTGCCCAGGCCCACAGGCCCATGGCCCAGTCTCCCCTCTGCCTCCTGCCCCAGTGCACCTCGGGCGGTCTCTGTTCTTTCTGCTGTCATGGGCTTCCTGCCCCAGTGCACCTCGGGCCATGTCCGTCCCCCCTGCCATCACAGGGGCACAAGCTCCCATGGCGCCTGCAGCCGCCCACCCCCAGCTACGATCGCTGTGTAGGTACTGGGGCTGCGGGACTCCGCGTGATCTCAGCATGCTCCCTGAGGCCAGAGTCTGTGGCTGAAGGTTCTTCCTGATGCTGAGCAGGCTGTGGGCTGGCATTCCGGCCCTGCCCAGCGTGGACATTTTTTGATACTGGGGATGGAACCAGAGGCACTTAACCCCTGAGCCAGCACTTTGGGCTTTTTATTTAGAGACAGGGCTTGCTAAGTTGCTGAGGCTGGCTTTGAACTTGCCATCCTTCTGCCTCAGCCTCCCGAGCCTCTGGGATCACAGGAGTGTGCCACCGTGCCCGGCCCAGTGTGGGCTTATGGACACGCTGTACACGTGCCGTGAGGTGCCGTTGCCCACATCTGCCAGGGTGGAGGTGGCATTATCTGAGGTCTACGAGTGCCCCGAGTGGGATTCATATGCCAACTGGTGGTGGAGCCTGTAGCAGAAAACTGGGTGGCACGAAGTAGGCAGGTCGAGGAGGCTGGTCCCGTGGAGCCCCGCTCCTCCTGATCCACGGCGACCTCAGGCTAGCAGGGGCTGGCCACCCAGGTCGTGCGGGCAGGTGAGATGCAGGCTGGTGGTGCTGCACCTCGGCAGGCGGATGAGGGGTCCCGCGTGGGGTGGGGCCCCAGCAGCACCCCACAGGCAGGCTCTCCAGATGCCACACCTGTCCCTCCTCCCCTGGAGGGTCCGTGCTCCTGCCCTGTGTGGACGCTGCCTATGTGGAGCTCAGCTCTGGGGGCTGAGGGCCGCACCATGTTCCCTCCAGACCTCCTGAGGCTGGCACCACCCAGGTCTGCTGCCGCATGACGCCCTTCCTGTGTGCCCGCTGCAGACTGGGTCTGCAGTGGCGCCAGGGCCCATGTGTGGAGGGGGGTCCCCACCTGCAACTGTTGGGAGTGTTGGAACCTTAAGAGGGGGGCCCAGGGTCTTGGACTCTGGGCCCAGCCCTGCTGCCTCCTCCCTTGTGAGTCCTGGCTGTGAGTGTCTTCACCGAGTACCGCCACCATGACGGCTGCCCTTCTGTCCGCCCAAAGCTCCAGGGCCCACCAATCTGGGCCAAAATCTCCCAAACCGAGCAAGACAGGCCTTGCTCTTGTGAGGGCACCAGCTGGACCACTGGTTACAGTAATGGGAAGCTGGCCGACACAGTGCCCACTCAGGACCTCTGTCCCTTTTATCAGGCTGTTTCTAGTTGATTTTCAGGGGCTCCTTCTGAAACCAGGGTGGAATCCCCTGCCCCCTTGGTACTTTCTGAACGGCCAAGTGAAGTGCTCAGCCCCCACACTCTTTAGGCCTCCTTTTGGTCTCTTGCAGAGCTTGAGGCTGGAGAGCACACAGACACAGGAGCCTGGCTGCTGTGGGGTGTGCAGTGGCAGCCGCGGGGTGTGCAGTGGCTGCTGGTCCTGTGGCACCTGCAGCCTGGGGCCCTGCCCTGTTCTCTGCAAGGTGCTTGCCACAGCTCTACCTCAAGAGCTTTGGCTCCTGCTGGTGGACTTTGGCTGTGCTGGGCCTGGGGAGGGGCACCTTCAGCACTGTGTATGGCCCACATGTGACACTGGCCAGACTGCGCCTCACTGAGCTAGCTCTGCTGTCTGGACGGTGACCCGAGGGCACCCTGACTCAAAGTGGCTTGGGCTATGAGCAGGGGAGACTCATGTGGCCAACCCAGCTGACCTGCGTGCAGGGCCTCTGCAAAGTCCCCCTTGAGGCTGCCAGTGGCAATCCTGGAGACTAGGCCTTGGGCCCTGAGAGAGAGGCCCTGGCTCACATGGTGTTGGGTCCAGTAGCCTCCCTGGTGAGGCGCTGTGTGGGCAGAGGCCTGCAGGAAGCGAGGCCGCTCTCCTGGGACCTGGGGTGAAGGTCATCATGTGGGTGGCAGCAGAGGTCTCTATGTGGGTGGTGCCTACAGGACCCTGTGGATGCGTGGGCTGTGCTGTCATGCAGCATGCCTGTACAGGGCCACTGGGTCATCTGGGTCACAGCAGGGAGTCCATGAGCAGGTGACTTCTCGGGTCTCACTGAGGATGCCGCCATTCAACCAGGTGGCCAGGTTGACTGGTGTACCTTTGGCTACAGAGGGGACAGAGACCACGGAGAGCCAGGGCTAGGTGCCACTCAGGAAACAGGGGACATGCCCCTGGAGAGGCTAATGGGCTGGGCAGTGGTGGTGGTCAGGTTGTGGGGACAGAGGGAGGCAGGGCAGAGGAGCCCACCTGGAGGCTCCTCAGTGGCCTGAGTGGGCCGCTGTGACACCCAGCACATGCCATGTACAACCACAGGGCAGCCTGCAAGGCCACAGACCTGGGGCGGGGGCCATGCCATCCCAGGCACGCCTGTGGGAGCCCAGGGCGGGGGGTGTTGCCTTGGCATGCCGCATGGGAGCCCATGGGGGGGATGGGGCACCCTGGCACACCTGGGTGGGAGCCCGTGGGGGGGGTGGGGCACCCTGGCACACCTGGGTGGGGGCCCGTGGAGGGGAGGTGGACCATCCCAGTACACCTGCGTGGGAGCCCATGGGGGTGGGCCACTCTGGTACACCCACGGGGAGGCCGGGGATACAACTGCCCCAGGCTCTGGGGAGCAGGTGTGGAAAGCCGTGGTGGGATGGAGGGTGGGCTGGGAGCACCAGGTGAGGGTGTCCCCTGGAGCTAGCTTCCCCCACCCAGGTGGAGCCAGTTAGCTGGGCCTGTGCAGGGCAGCAGGACCGGGCAGGAGTGTGCGACACAGCCATGGCCATTTTCTGGACAGGTTTCATTTATTGTGCGTGAGGACCACACAGACACTGACGGCGGAGACGCTAGCATGCTGAGGACACCTGCTTCTACAGAGCCACACCTCGGCAAGGAGGAGGCACGGGCCTTGGCCATGACTGCAGGGCTCAAGGGACATGGCTCGAGTTTCCCCAGTGTCAGGGTCCAGTCCCTGGTGCCCACGTCCACCTGTGGGAGGCCCAGAGGGCTCTGTATGCAGCCTGCACCTGCTGGACGGCACAGGGTGCGACCTCTCTGCAGGCCACATTCAGAAGCTCCAGGTGACCTGGGGACACGTGCCCTTCCCTCCAGGGGCAGCAGCCAGTGTGCCGTGGAGGTGGCCCTGGGTGGCCTTCTTCACTTGGTATTGCTGATAGCTTTTGTCAACAAAACCAGCCACCAGCATACAGACATGCAGAGACTGACCTTGGGCCGTGAGAATAGTCTGGATTCGAAGGTAAATGTGATTTTAAAAAGCCACTCCCTAACAGGGAAAGTGTCCACAGAGGTGACGGTGCCTGAGAGAAACGACACCCTGTTGGTTCTTCCCCAAGGGCCAGCTCCAGGACACGCGGGGTGTCTGCAGGCTGCCTAGTGGCTCCCACGTGCCAGGGGCCCTCGAGCTGCGGCATGTGGCTTACAAGGAGCAGCCCTCCTCCCATGGCCTGGAAGTCCCCAGCGAGGTGACCATGAGCTGACCAAGAAGCCAAAAGAGTGCCCAGTCCCACGTTCCAGACCCCAGTGGTCCATGGCCAAAACAGACGCGGGGTGCCAGGCGGGCAGGGCGCTCACATCCAGCCTGGCCACACACGGGAAAGGAGTGGGGCCTCGGGGCGGTCTCCCCGACTTAGACAAAACAGGACACTTGGCTTTTAAAATCTGAGCAAAATAAATGACCCAGGCAGCTACCGTGAGCACAGGGGTCCTCACACAGTGTATGTACAGTCACCCGGGTCCCTCTCCCCAGAGCCTGGGTGACAGCAAGATCGTGTTCCAGGGTGGCCGCAGGGGAGGAGCCAGCCACGTGGACCCGTGTGCAGAGATGGGACAGGCTGGAACCTCACCACGAGGATCTCTGCTGTTCTCGCAGGACGCAGGACGCAGGACGCAGGGCGAGCCCTCTATGGGGCGTGAAGCGGTGAGGAGTCAGAGATGGAGCCTCGCGCTGCGTTCTCAGGAGAGGCAGGGGTGGGAGTGGCCCTCTTTCTCTGGAAACGTCAATCTCCCTCCTCTGTCTCCCTGTGGCAAGAGGACTGCCCTGGTCATCCGTGGGCTCCGTTTACACCAGGAGCCAATGGCGCAGCTGCAAGGAGGACATCTGGTCAGAAGCAGGTGGCAGCCCTGGCACAAGCAGCTCCTGGGCCCCACCCTGCTGCTCAGGGCCGCCCCTGCCAGCCACCTGCCCACGGGAGGCAGCGGGATGCAGGACCAACACTGCTCCTGGGGGCCTGTTTTGAACCTGCGACTCAGCTGCAAAGCAAGGGCCATGCCTGGCGGGGGAGGCCACGGCAGGGGAGGCCACAGCAGCCTCTGGGCACATTAGAGACAGCAGCTGGGGTGGGGAGATGCTGGCCTCAGAAATGTGACCTCCTGCAACCTGTGAGTGGCCCAGTGGTGTCCCCTCCCCTGCACCCAGCACTTCCCTGGAGCCCCACTTCTCCATCCTAGTGAAGCCCTGTGCTCTGCCACCAGCTGGCAGTGTGCCCCACCACGTGGGGAGCGGGCCTCACTGGTGGCTCCAGGTTGAGGACACTGAGGGGTGACTGTGGCACTGCAGCCACTGCCATCGCTGTTACCGTGCAGCTACCAGTTTGGCTGTTTCTGAGCGAGAGGCAGTTGGTGACACGGTGGCCAGAACTCTGTTTTTAAATATTTTCTGAGCAAAAGCTTGGTGGCTTGTTTCTGACCCCACGGTACCAGAGGGGGAAAGCGGGAGCTGGCCCTCTGGCCATGCAGGGCCTCTCTGTCCCTTCCACTGGGAACCCTGAGGGGCTACCTCCGCTGGGTCAGGACATACCACACGTAGCGGGAGGAGGGGGCTGCAGGGGCCTGGGGCAGCTGCAGGTGATGCCAACATAGGTACTGTCCAGGTGTGTCATGGAGCCCAGTGATGGCAGTGGTGGGCAGGACCTGGCTGGGGTCACAGCCAGGAGGGCCCAGTGGCCAGAGTCCAGCACAGCAGCTCTGGGTGGCACTCCCTTCAGATCACGAGGAGGGACGTTGCTCTTGGACCAACTGTGGGACTCACCTGAGTGAGAGTGGCCCTCTCTCCTGGCCACCTCCAAAAGCAGAGTGACCCTCTCTGGAGGGAGGGGCATTTGGGGTGACTCTCGAGTTCCCACAGACTGTGGTCAGGCCACAGACTTGCAAATAAAAAGGCCAGAAATAGGAGGCAGGCCAACTCTGAGAGGGAGTCAGCAGGAACCAGAGGTCAGCAGAGCCGAGGACCAGAGTCTGCAGGGTCAGATGACAGGACAGCTCCAGGCAGTCGTGTGTCCCAAAGAGGGACAGAGGCACATTACAACATGCTCACTGCACAAGAAGCAGGCAGGCCAAGCGCAGCCACAGAGCTGAGCCGGAGGTAGCTGCCAGTCAAGGGTGCACACAGGGTGTGCTGGCTCGTCAGCGCAGCAGGTCACACGTGTGGCCACGAGGGTCCTCCCAGAGCCACAGGCACATTACTTCTAGCCGAGGTAGACTAAGGGCCAAGTCTCCCCTCCCACCTGAAATGCCCTCAGAGTGAATGGCACACACACACCAATGGCTTGGAGACCTGGAGTCAGATGGCCAAGGTCGGGGTTGTCCCCATGCAAGGGCCAGCAAGCAGCATGTCCAGTGCACCCAGCCTGCTGCGCGGAGGGACCCTGTGGACTGTGGTGCAGGGACGGGAGGCCAGGTGGAGCCCACAGGGCTGCTTCGGTGGGGGCCCACAGCACTGAGCTTGCAGGCGCCTGAGGGGTGACTGCACAGGGGTGCCCAGGCTGGACCCAGCACCCACAGTGCACGCAGAAGCAGGGAGAGCCTCTGATGCACTGCAGGGAGCCACCTGAGGCTGGGCAGGGCTGCAGCTGCGCCTGCCCACCAGCTGGGCTGCAAGCCTCACGGCGGCCGGGCCCTGGGTGGGGAGAGCTCAGGGTGGCTGGCTAGACGAGCTCTGGTCGACCTGTTTCCAAGTACCTAAGTTCAAGAAAATCTACAGGAATGCAAACTCAGCATCTAGCAAGGAAAACCACAGCGTCCAGGGACCATCTGGACACAACCCAACACGCAAAGAGGCGGAATAGAACCACAGTGAGAAAAGCCGCAGCAAATCTGACCCAGGATAGACACATGTGCAAACTGCAGGTGTTCAGAAGTAGAGACACAGAAGGCACAAGAAGACCCCAGGGGACCTCACAGAGCCAGGTGAAGGGTGCGTGCCAAAAGGGGTCCGAAGGAGGGCACGGAACTAAGCAGACCAAACCACAGCAAAGCCACGCGGCTGGATGCTCCCTCAGCCACCTGAGGGCACAGGGCATCCAACCCGAGGCACCCAGAGCACAGCAAGGGAGAGGGGGAGTGACGCACAGCGGGGCCGTGACTCCAAGTGGCAGAGTGCTCATGCAGCCACGGGCCCTGGGGGCAGAATGAGAACTGAGTAACGGTGGCTGGAAATGCCCAAACGGGATGCCAACTACAAACCCCAGCGGCACGGAGAAGGGCCGTGCACCCTGACTGTGCTGGGGGAAAGCAGACCTGGGGTGGAAGCAGAGGGTGCCCTTTCCAGAAGCAAGAAGAACTGCCAGCCAAACACGCTTTGCAGGACCACAGAGATGGCTCCATCTGCCAGGCGCGGTGGCCATGCCTGCCATGCCAGCTGCTCAGGAGGCTGAGGCAGGGCACCAAGTTCATGGCCAGCCCGGGCACTTAGTGAGGCCCTGTCTCAAAGTAGAATTAAAATACAAGGGCTGGGGATCACAAAACAAACTCTTTCTACCCACCACCCATCCATCCATCCTCTGTCCATCTATTAGCTACATATTCGGTCATTTATGTCCATCTTCTATCCACCTACCTTCTGTCTTCTATCACCCATCTTTCCTACCTATCATCTATCAGTCACCTGTCCACCCATTATCTATATATCAGTTTTGCCTATCCTCCTATCTACAAAATGTATCATCTACCGTCAGTCTTCTATCTTTATCCACCTATCTCTGTCTTTCCATCATCCATCATCCACCTTCCTTTTGTCAATCATCTATCTTTCTACTCATCTTCTGTCATCTACCCACCTCTGTCTGTACCTTCCTATCATCTCTCTACCTTCTATTTGTCCCCTATCTCCTGTCCATCTACCACTCTTCTCTCTCCATCATCTCTCCTCTATCTACCTCTGTCTATCATCCATCCATCTCTCCATCTATCTCTTTCCATGTATCTGCCCTCCACCCACCTACCTTCTGTCACCATCTACCTATGGGACAAACTTATGCAGTGGGAGGACAGAGGAGGGATTCACGTGGGGCTGAGGCTGTTTGCTCCAAGGACACTGGGGAGAGGGTGGGCGGCTGGAGATAATTGCCACCAACACTGAGTTCTTGAGCAGCACTCTCACAGGGGCTTATTTTGTTTGTGGACAAATAGATAAAAAGTGTCAGTGACAGAAGCCTGCTGTAGGATTGTGGCTCTGGAGCGGCGGTAAGGAAACTCCAAGTGAGGGTAGGAGGGCCAGAAGCGGCAGCACGGGCTTGCTCTGCCCTGTGCTGGTGCTGGGACTGAACCCCGGTGTGTACCACCGAGCCACGCCCCAGCCCCTTTCACCTTTCACCTTGAGTCAGGGTCTCGCTGTTGCCCAGGCTGGCCTGGAACACACATCCCCCTGCCCCAGAGTCCCACCTCTGGGATTACAGGCTTGGCCACTGCACCTGGCCAAAGGCAAGGTTTTAGTGTCGTTGCAAAATTCCCACAAGTGACACAGATCATGGATCCACAGTTCCTGCTCACACGACATATCCTAAGAGATGTGAAGACCCATCAACGAAGGCAATAAAGGAGAAAAGTGAACCTAACCGGGGGACAGACGGGGTTAAAGGCCCCAGGACAAAGCTCAAGCCTGTCAGTAACCACAGCAAACGTCAGTGGGTTCGTCTGCCCAATGGCCAGAGGGAGGAGTTCCAGGGGTGTGCTGGGCTTGCAGAAAAAACCCACGTCTAACTATCCCCAAGGCCGTGAGTGGACAGACCTGCCCAAGGAAAACCCAACACCATATTCCCCACAGACAAAACGGGTGCCACAGCAAAGGCCTCGCTGGGAGAAGACCGCTGGCCAGGAGCTCTGGTCATTCTAAACGCAGCCGTACCTCGGGGCAGAGCTTCAGATGGTGTGGAGGAAAAGCATGAGCCGAGGAGAAAGCTGAGCAGACGCGCTGTCAAGGAACACACCACAAACGGCTCTCGGTCATTAACTGTCCAGCAGACCTCAAATGGGCAGGCTGAAGGCGGCATAGGCAACGTCCATAGCAGCCCAGTCTATCGGGCAGAAGCAGGCTCAGTGCCTTTCACAGGTGTCTGAGCACAGGGCGGTCAATTCAGAAGCAGCCACAGAGAGGAATGGAACACCCCCTAATGTGGGAATTTAGAAGCACTTTGTACGCAAGTTATGAGTGAAGGAAGGATGGAAAGTAAACTATGTGAAGAGCTAAAGAACAAAACACCCTCTGTCAAAGGGTGTGGGGTGCAGCAAGACAGGCATATGGAGGGACATTCGTAGCCTTGAGTGCTTGTTAGAAAAAAAGGAAAGTTGAAAACTAATTATCTAAGTTCCAAATTAAGAAGGTAGTGAACCTCAGAAGACCTGGGGGGAGTGGAAGGAAGGCATCGGCACGACCGGACAGAGCCAGCAGACTCGTCCGCACAGTTGCTGTGGAGCCTGAGAAGTCCCACCCAAGGCCACACACAGGTGACCCCCGCCAGCCCAGGCTCTCAGAGGACCCGGCTCTCACGGGGGTGGCAGGGCCGGCGGGACAGGAAGGACGTCCTGTGCAGGTGGGGTGGGAAGCCTGGGTGTGCCTCTTGTGCTCAGAGCAGGAGGTGGTCTGGGGAAGGCGGGAGGCTGACCCTGCACCAGGACCTGCATTAACGGGAGGAGGAACAGGAGGCGCAGCCCCGTGGGGGTCGACCACGCTGGCCAAGTGGCAGTGAGTGTCCCACTGCCTGGCTCAGGTGAGCATGACTGCCCCCACCCTGGGTTCCTAGGGCCCCTTGTCTCTGGGTGCCGTCCAGGTGACTGAGGCCTGCACACCCTGAGAGCTGACACAGCAGGCTTTTTAGACCAAGGCAGAGGGACAGCAGCATCCGAGATCTGTGCTGTGGGTGTGTCCCCAACCTTATCCGCAACCGGGTGACCTCCCCCTGGGGGTCCCGAAAGCACCTGTGCATGTCGGAGTTCCAGGTGGATGCCACCCTAGCACCACCCCCCACCCACATGTACCCCTGCTTACAACGTCCTTTGAAACAGCCCAAGGCCTGGACGTGTGCTCTGGGCCCTCGTCCTCCCCAAGCGTGCCCTGCTCCTGCGGGTCTCGCTTCCCTAGGAAATCTCTCCAGGCTCTTTGGATGCATGCTGAAATTCCTGTGGTCGAGAACCTGCCAGGGCTGGGTTAAGGTCCCTTCTCCCTTTGGGGAACCTTCTTGGACCCCATCTGGTGACAACTAGATCTGCCCAGGGGACAGTCACTGCCCTCCCACTGCACAGAGGAGGACACCAGGCGGGAGGGGTGGGGGAAGGGCGGTCACAGGACACTGCCAGGTGTCCCCTCTGCCTCCACTCTGCTGGGCTCGAACACCCAGCCAGTTGACCTTGGAGCCCTTCTCATCCTGGGGTCCCGCCACCCTGCATTCAGCTCATGCTAGAGTTCTGGAGTTGGGCCGCTCTCCTGGGGTGGGGAGGGGACAGCTGAGAATGCGCCAGAGCTTGGCCCAGGCCCACCTCCCACCTGGTAGTGGGGCTGCAGGCAGGTTCTGGAGCCTCTCTGGGCTTTGTAGGGAGCAGACCTACCTCTGAGGTTGTGGCAGTCACAATCTGCCCCATGCTTATACTGGGCTCTCGGCAGCACTCCTGCCCATGGCACATGATGGGCGCCTGGTGTGCACAGTGCACCCCGGGCCCCACCACAGCATGTGACTGGCACGGGACATGCACAGTGCACCCTGGGCCCCCCACTGCACATGACACGGGGGGTGATGTGCACATGTGCACCCTGGTACCCCACAGCATGTGACATGTGGGTGGTGTGCTCACATGCACCCTGGGACCACCACAGCATGTGACATGTGGGGGGTGTGCCCACGTGCACCCTAGCCCCCCATGGCATGTGACATGTGGGTGGTGTGCTCATGTGCACCCTGGCTCCCCCACAGCACATTACAGGAGTGTGGAGTGCTCACATGCACCGTGGCCCCCCAAAGCACGTGACAGGAGTGTGGCAGGCCCACGTGCACCCCTGCCCCCCATGGCATGTGACAGGAGTGTGGCGTGCCCACATGCACCCAGGCCTCCCCCACAGCATGTGACAGTAGTTTGGTGTGTTCACATGTACCCTGGCCCCCCCACGGCATGTGACATGTGGGTGGTATGCTCATGTGTACCCTGTTCCTCCATGGCATGTGAAATGTGGGTGGTGTGCTCACAGGCACCCTGGCTCCCCCACGGCACATTACAGGAGTGTGCAGTGCTCACATGCACCGTGGCCCCCCAAAGCATGTGACATGTGGGTGGTGTGCTCACATGCACCCAGGCCCCCCATGGCATGTGACACGAGTGTGGCATGCCCACGTGCACCTCTGCCCCCCATGGCATGTGACAGGAGTGTTGC